TAAGGTAGATAGATGTAGACTTTAACACTCCACCTCAGTAGCAACTCTCTATCCACAAGCCCAAGTTAACTTTGAAATTTCGTAAACTTTGAAGAACTTTGTGATTTGGTGAATATATCAGCTATTTGTTCGTTTGTCGTAATCGGCTTCATTACAATCTCTTCCTAAAACACTTTCTCTCATAAAAAGTGACAATGTACTTTGATATGCTTCGTCCTAGTATAAAAAACTAGATTATCTGCTAATCGTATTGCAGACTGATTATCGCAATGTAAAGCTACTAAGTAGTTTGTGGATTGATGTAGATCCCTCATTAACTGAAAAGGCTACATGCTTTACTGAGCTGCCATTGCTACTAATCTGAACTCTGTCTCTGTAGTTGATAGTGACCCCGTTGACTGTCTTTTGCTACACTAAGATATAGCTGCTGAATCGAGACTAAACACGTATCCAGTAGCAGACCTCCAAGTATCATGATCTCCAGCATTGATACGAGTCGCTGTGCGAGCACCCTTTGGTCGTGGAATTACCAAAAGGTGGGTTGAGAAGAGGATGACCAAACACAAGAACAATTCAGTATAAGGCGAAGGAAAATACCTTCTCTAGATTATGAAGAACAAAAGATTACAATCTCTCCCTCACAATCTCACTAGAACCGAGAACAACCTCTTAACTCTCTCTCTAAACCCTAATACAATTATTAGAATTTCTCTTGATCACTTCTCTCTGAGATCTGATTACAATCTAAACCCTAATCCTTTTGATCAGGATTTCACTTAGACCTAAAACTCTTTAGGACTACATCTTGGCCTCTAACCTCCTTATTTAGAACCTTAAACAATCCCTATTTATAGGGTTTACAACGTGGTGGTAATCTTGTAAATAAACAAGTCCAAAAAGGATCAGGAATTCCTGTCAAAACAGAATCTAAAACGAACCAGGAAAAGCCAAATATCGCGCCCGGGTCGCCCGCCAATCCTGGTCCGGTCGACCGGCCAGAGCGCTTCTGCAAACCCTGCCTTGTGCAGGTTTCTCCGGTCGACCGGCATGGGTGCCGCGGTCGACCGGCCAGAACCCGACCCTGTTTTCCTGATCTTTTGCGTTTCACTCCTTCTGACTTCTTTCGCCGTCCTCTATGGCTCCAACCACACCTCTATTCTCAAGATATCATGAGAATCACCTATCCTCAAGCTCCCATGAGGATCGTTTTTTCCGAAGAGAAGATACACCCGTATCAAACATAGTCAGCATTACACTAGCCATAGACCTTACATTCTTCTCCTTTCTTATACATGAAATCATAGTTAATTGTACCCTTGACGTACCTTAGGATTATTTGGATTGCTTCTAAGTGAGACTTCTTTGACTTTTGCATGTATCGGCTCATCACACCAATCGTAAATAAAATATCTGGTCCTGTTATTGTCAGATAGATCAAGCTTCCAACTAGTTATTGATACATAGTTAGATCATTCAAATCTTTTCCTTCATGTGCACACAGTCTCAGATTTGTCTCCATCGGTATTGAGATTGACTTACAGTTGAACATCCTGTACTTGAGCAACATGTCCTTCGCATACTTTTCTTGACAAAGGAATAATTCATTCTTCCTTTGGTCGACCTCCATTTTGAAGAAATGCTTGAGATCTCCAAACTACTACATTTGAGACCCAATCGAGAAATTTGTCTTTGTTCTCTGGATTTTCGCTTCATCGTCTCCGATTAAGAATTAAGTCATCCACATATACCAATACAATTGTTAGTCTATTACCAATTTGTTTGACAAATAAACTAGAATCAGTAAGATCAAGAAATTATCTATTTTGAATTAAGAACTCACTAATCTTATCGTACCAAACTCTCGGAGCTTTCTTCAATCCATAGAGAGTTTTTCTTAGTTTGTGTAGACGGTAAAAAAATAACTTCGTGAGCTTGCAAGAAATTCACCTGCAAGGAGAAGTCGCTCATACAATTCGCCTAAGCCATGGGAATTCACCTTTTGACACAACTCGCCTGACCGAGTCTGAAGTTGAATTCGCCAGCAAACCTCAAGGCCGCCAGTATAGCTAGGTATCTGCTACCCCACGTGCTGAGGCGGGCTTTCCCACCTCTCTCGACCTGAAGAGAGAGGGCACGGTACTCCAGGCCCGTCGAGCGGCCATTCATAGTACGAGTGATCGGGTAGGTGTCGAGTCAACCTGAGCACTCATAAATGCAGCTCACCTCGTCCGTCCGAGTCAAGAGCTAGATCCGCCGGTATTCGGCAAGCTGTCCAAACCCACTCGAGTACTGGGAACCCGCTTTCCCACCTCTTTCGACCTGAAGGGAGAATGCACAGTACTCCAGGCTCGTCGAATGGCTGCTCATAGTACAAGTGATCGGACAGGCGCCAAATCAACCTGCGCGCTCATAAATGCGACTCGGCTCAACGGTCCAAGTCAAGAGCTGGATCCGCCGGCACACAGTAGGCTAGCCAGATCTACGTAGTAGGCAGCCGCTGTCTCATATACGAGGATGGGCCTTCCCACTCCTACGTGACATGACGTGAAACACACCCCATCGAATGACCGTTCGTAGTACAGATGGGAGCAAAACATCTCTTGACAGTACATGGTCACATTCCATGATTCAAGGAGTGACCACGCCGTCTCTCCACCATTTAAGAACTTCTTCCAGCCACAAATAAGGGGTTCAAGGGTTGATCAGCTCACTGGTTCAGAACTTCTGCCAACTACGAAGAAGAAGTTCAGCTATTTCTCAGCCATCCAGCGATTCGCTCATCGTTGAATCAGCTAATTGAACCACTAGCTCTCGACTCCCACAAGAGTCGACGACAAGCTCTTTGCATAACCTTTGCACCGTA